TGGGCCCAGTCGAGAGAGCTAGTCCCTATCTCCGGACACCTGCACCAACACAGGATAGGGTATACAAGCCAAGCACAGCACAAACCGTCTGCATTAAAAACTCCGCACGTATGGGGCCTAGCACTAGAGCATTATCAGAATAGAAGTCATCACTGGAGAGAGATAAATTCTCTGTATAGCGTCAACATAAAAAACATTGATTTCCCTGCTTCATCTACACTGGGCGGAGTTTTAGATTTTTTTTACTTCTGCTGTGATAACGGGAGTCCAGATGGGAGAGACATCCAAGCTGTGTTAACTGATCGGATGGTCTACCAGGGACGTGTGGGCGGATTCCTTATATTTCCTGTGTGGTGTTTGCTTCAATCTGCAAGCCCTTCACTTCATTCCAGCATATTTTGTGGTCATCTTCGTGTGCATGTTGGGCCAATTTTGATTTTTAAAGCTGACCCTGGGTCAGGTTATATTTGTGCTCCTTAATGCGTACTTGTAAAGCTCTGCTTGTTTCACCGATGTCACATCTGCCACAATCACATGGGATGCTGTAGACCAGCCTTGTCCAACGCGGCGCCCGCGGTATATTTTTCTGGCGCCCTCCGTAACCACATATAATTGAGCCGATTTTTAATATTAATTCAAATTCTAAGACAAGAGACATTTTTGAACGTCTGAGTACTGTAAAATATTTTCGAAAAATTATATTATTATTATTATTAGTAGTAGTAGAAGTACTAGTAGTAGTAGTGTGGGGTCGCGCCCGCGCCTCCATAGGCATCAGTGAATTGTACCCGAGTACATAAGCACTGCTGTAGACTCACTGCTTCGTCTGCTGGGTTTCTCGATCAGAAAATATATCTGCAAGTGTCAAATACGGGACAAATGTCACAGCCTGGTTATTTGTTTGGATGCATTGCTCAATAGACGATTAGAATGTAATCAGTATTGGTCCAGCCGTTTTCGAGATGGTTGAAATTTCCTGTTCCCGCAGATGCCACCCGTGCAGTTTCGTTTAGAGCGACGGGCTTCATAAGTCACTGAAATTCAATCAGAATCGTTACAACCTTTTTCGATAAAATTGCCGTTTAGTTTTGTGGGGGACTGTCCGAGGGGCCTCCAGTTTCTGGAGTTGGACACCGGCATGCGGTGGACATAAACAGAAGTCCGTCCAGCCGCACAGGGAGACGCTAGCGAGGGGTGGTGGACGTACGTGTATGAGAGGCAAAAGGTGAAAGGAAGATATTGCCTAGCCCCAAACCCGGACCCTGCACATCCGTGTGCGCGTAGCGTTCCAATGTCGTCACACCTCGGTGTGTCTGTGCGCCCCTGACCTGGTGTCAGCCGTTCGTTCCGGCTCATTCTCCGTTTCTTCATTTCTCGTACAGACGTTGGTAGACACTGCTTCGTGTGTGGGAGGTCCCAGGTTCATGTCTCGTCACTGAGGGTTTCCCTCTGTTTTCCTCTCACGAAGTGTTTGGGATGGCGCCATAAATTAGGCTACGAGTCACATCCGTTCCGAGCCTCAGCCTACCATTCGGCGCTGCTGACACCGTCCTTAAATAAATAATAAGCACATGCATATGAAGCAGTAAACCGGCTGAGTCAGACAGGTTCTGACGGGCTTGCCGTCATCCAGCGTCATCGATCCTTGGAGAATGGCTTCCGCTATATGTCATTTCTGTGTACAGCAGATGGCACAACTGTGGAGGACTTGGACGGATATCCAACCGAAATTTGCTCGCCTTTTTTTATCATCCCCCCATGCGTGCTACATATCCAGCCCATCGTGCCCTGCTGCGAAGCGGCAGGTGTGTAGGAGACTCTGTCCCCACGGACGGAGAGGAACTGGCTCTGGCGCGGCCGAAACCTGTCGCGTCATCCAGCCGACATTCCTCACTCAGTTTTGCTGTCGTCACTGGACGGCGATGTAAACTGATTTAGTGGAATCGATTGCTCTAGAGGTCGAGTCAGATAAACCTGCCACGACCCGCGCGAGAGAAAGTTCGGACGTAACTTCTACACTTGGAATACATCATGTCTCTAGTCCCCAAACTGGAAACATTTAAACTTCCCAAATTCTCTGTCTCTGGAGTTGGCAACGGCGCGCTGTTGCCAGAGAATGACAGGCATTCCGTCAGAGCAGTGCTGTCACGTTTGCGCCGTACCGTGTGCACGCAGCCTGTCCAACTGCGGCAAACCCTCGCCAATCCGGGTAGAAATATGAACAGTTCTGTTCACGGTTCAGTACATATTTTAAAAAGACACATGGGATTTAGGGGCAAGAGGGTCGCTGGCTTCCCACCGCGGCGGCCCGGGTTCGATCCCGGGTCTGATCAAGTGGGATTTGTAGTGGACAAAGTGGCGCTGGGGCGGGTTTTCTGCGAGTACTTCGGTTTCCCCTGCCAATCTTCATTCCACCAATTGCTCCACAGTCACCCTCACCTATCATCTGGGGCTGGTACAGTAGGCCAGAAGTGGCTGCAGTACAAGGGACTTAGTCCCACCCCACTAGCAATAACAAAAAATAAGGGCAGGAGGATTTTCAGGCCCTGTTGAGGGCGGCGAAGCCACGCAAGTAAATATCCAAGATTGGCTTCAGCTGGGTGAAGGAGACCTAGAATTCCAGCTTCTGACAAATGGAAAAAATGTTGCAGTGTTTTTTTTTTCATTCGTTTTTTTTAAGCTATCTTCTGCTTCATTAATCCGGACGACCCCCCCAAATTAATCCCGATTAGCGAGGGTTAGCTGTATGTTGAAAATAGACTGAGGCTATTTGCTAATGATGACGCAGCGGTCTGCGTCACTAACTGGCGCTCACATGCTCACATAGCAGTGCTAACAGCGCTGTGGCCGAGAGGTATGCAGCAACTGTTGTCTGCTGTGTCGCCATGGGTTCTGCCCTGAAGATAAAGGCTCTGTGTTTCTCCGAAACGCTGGTACTCGCCTACCAGCCTACACGGTATTAAACCCGGAATGCCACAGTATGAATCTTCACAGTCTCGGATCGCGTGTATTTTACGTATGGTATGTGAAGGAAGTGAGAGGAGAGGATTGAGAAAATTACATAGTGAGAAGCTTCATAATGTTCGCTCTTCACTGAATAATAATACATTGGCTAATCAAGGAGGATGAGATGGGGGGGGGGAGTGTAGCGGCCATGGGGAAGATGGAATATGCGTATAGAGTTCAGTAGAAAGCCGAAAAGGAAAATGTTTCTTGGGAAACGTAAGCGAAGATGGAGGATAATATTAAAATGGATCACGAAGGAAGATGGAAGGGTACGGACTGGTTCCATTCAGCTGGCTCAGAATAGGGCTCTTGTGAAAGCGGCAGTGAACCTCGGGTTCCATATAAGGCCGAGAATTTCTTGGTTAGCTGAGTGACAAGAAGGACGCAGCTCCTTGGAGTTAGTGAGTTGGTTACGTGCGGTAAGATCATGCGGACGGTATTTTCGTTCTTCTAAAATTGAAGCGCAGCGGTAGCTCTGTGTGTATATATATATATGTGTGTGTTGTGTGCGCCACCTACCCTGACATTCAGAAACAGCGCTTGTTCCCCCAAACAAGCAGTAACCGGTTGGCGCCGTACGAGCTGAATGTATATGGAAGGGATAATGAGTGCTGAGCTTCAGGCTCCGGCCACTCCACCCGTGTGCTTAATGTGTAGGCTGCCGCCACCGACTGATCTGTGTGGGCCTGTCCCATGCACACCGCAGTCAAGGTCGGACACGCTGGGTTGTTGACCGGCCCAACAACAGATGTTATCTGCGCGAGATTGCGTGCAGGCATACCTTTATACGTTTTTGTGTTTGTAATTAAACACCGCCGGTAACATGACCTTCATACCGAGTTTCAAGAAACTCGGTCAAAACATATTTTCCCAGGTTCGCCCAAATAAAGGGCACAGCTGCTTTTTTCTTACCCAGTGCGTGGTTGGACACCCCTGCTGCTTATTCGTGAGTCCCACGGGCTTGTTTCACGGCTAGCGTTTTCGTGATTCTTCTTAGTCACTCCGGCCTGCTGTTTGTCTAAACTATGGCCACATTCTTCGACTCCTTTGTGTACGTTCCATTGTTCTCGGGATGAATGCAGTTTCCTTCAGAATCAGAAGGCGCCATTGCAAAACGAGTTTGGGAAACGTTTCCCATTTAGATGTTTAGATTGGGGAGTCCTCACTAAATAAATACTGCGAAGAGTACGAGAACCGGTGTTTTTTGAACATGGTATGGGGGCCCTGGGGTCGACTCAGCCTGTAACAGAAGTGAGTACCAGGAGTAATGGCCAGTCTCAACCCTATGGACCGTCTCCACGGCCTATTACAAGGATAGCTTTATCTTTTCTATCTTCTGGTGTATGATACCGTGTAATTTGGTAGTTCACCGATTTTTTGGGATGAACATACACCTAAGGATCGACAAGTGAGCCATGTTTGGAAAACCTGCCCCTTGCTGTTTGTTTGCTTTGCTTGCATACACCTTGACCCTGATGATAGAAGCACTGCTTCCTCTGAAACGTGGTGTAAGTGGTCACTGCTGTAAGTACTGAAGTCCTCAGTCCCATCTCAGCAGTATGCCTTCCTCAGTCCGTTTCAGTGCTGGAACGTCATAGCGTGTTGCACAGGAAGTGTGCGGACTGTCATATCCCTGCCACCTTGATCAGACTTTCGGAGGCCCCAGTCTTCTCCAAGCTGTGTGATTGTTTTACTGAGTCCTGCCAGGCCAGCTCACGGATTGTGCCTTAAATTAGACCACAAGCGCTTCCTTCCACATCCTTACCAATTCATTATTCACCGATCATTCTGCCATTTTTGCTCTATGGCCTGAGCTACAGACAAAATCGATAATTAGCCATAAATACAAGATCTGACTACCATTCGATGGCATATAAAACATATTTGTTTGTTAAAGTGTTGTGAAGTAGTATTTATGTCTGTACTGATCGCTAATTAACCTCTAAAGAGTGTCTTGTGTTTCAAAGTTGGTGGTGCTGGTTATTTTGTTGAAGGAGAAGGGGACATCGCTGCCGGCCCAGAGACTGAACAAGCACCCATCGCGGGGACTTCTGCGCCATATCCTGCAGCAGGTCTACAACCAGGCTGTGAGCGATCCTGAGAAGTTGAACCAGTATGAGCCCTTCTCACCAGAGGTGAGTACACTCAGTGCTGTTGGGATTGCATTCCTGGGCATGCCAGAGTGCATCAGAAGGGGAGGTCACAGTTTTGCACAGAAGTAGAGGCATGTGCTGTTCTTCCCTGTGCTCTTTGCGTATCTATACCGAGGCCATGGAAAGTACTCCTCAGCGTTGATTCTTCCATGCCTCCCTCTAGTTGCCTGGCTATTCTGATGACTTGATTGTTAGTACTTGCAACAGTTACTACTGACAAGCACTTTGTACTGGTTGACAAAGGCCAGAAATGGTAGGAGGAACAGAACAGGAGGCAGGGAGTTGGAGGTCTCACCTTCATGAATTTCTGTTGTATTTACATACCTTTTGGTGTTTTCTGTTAGAGCACTGGTATGAAACACTTATATAAAGGTGTTCCTATAAATGTGTGTCCTGAGAACTTTGCTTAAAAATTATAACCATTGTAAAATGTCATGCCATGCCATCACATTCTGAGAACGTGACATTCCAAGATCATTTTATTTTGAACTTTCTGTTGGTGTTTGCAGTAATCTCATTGAGAATAAGTAAGGTAGGCACTGGTACTGCCCATGCTTCTGTTCACTGGGCATTACAAGAACAGTAGTACTATCCAGAACGGATATGTGTGGTCAGATGACTGCTTCTTCCAATATGGTCTGTCATAGAGAGGAACCATGACATCAATTCTACAGTTTTCAAGTAAAATAAAGAATACCTTCAGAATCTTTGAATGCTTGCATTTTCTTTTTCATGCAAAGTTGAATTGTGTGTGGGTGAACATTGAGCCCCTCCTGCAAGAAAGTAAAAATAGAGAACTTATTAATAGCTCTTTTGTTTGTTTTCTTCTTATCTTCAACTCATTATTCTTAGGAAATATTTAAAGTCTGACCATGGAAGTTGAAGTTAGAATAGCTGTAACTTCTTAAGGAAGGTCCTCAGTGTATATTCTTTATCAACTGTTTTACTTATTTTGATATTCTTGTAAAATCTGGCATCAAATAATGGAACATTCTGTATGTTACTAATTAGGGGAATCACTGCTATACAGGGTGAGGCAGTTGAAGGGAATCAGATGCCATGATTTTCTACCCAGATCCACTTGAATAATGAGGCTTTGGCAACCTCCATCTTCAGGGTTTGGTATCATGGGATTTTGGGGAGTGTCATCCCATCAGATGGGCTTCTCTACCCAGCCGACACCCTTTCCTTATGACACTGTCATCTGGCCCACAGGTGTATGGAGAAACATCATATGACCTTGTCTGTCAGATGATTGACCAGATTGAGATAACGAAAGATGACATCTTTGTGGACTTGGGTTCTGGCGTTGGTCAGGTTGTCCTTCAGATGGCAGCTGCAACTCCTTGCAAGATCTGCTTTGGAGTGGAGAGAGCAGACGTTCCTTCTAAGTATGCAGAGGTGAGTTATGCTTCTGTTGTGCTGGTCACTTGCCTCCTCCTATAGTAATTGACAGTTTCTAGAAGTGCTTTGTCAGTGATTGGAGTGCCGCCATAATCGTGATTGACTGGTAACCTTGAACTGTACAATATGCTTTGTGCATTTTATCAAATGAATGCAGTTATTTTAGTACAGTATGTCACAATCCGATTCTGATGAGCAGTGTGTTGAAATATGCCACATCTGTCTTGAAACTGTTTGAGAATATTTATATTTTTTTTTATTGCTAGTGGGGCGGGACTAAGTCCCTTGTACTGCGGCCACCAGCCCCAGATGATAGGTGAGGGTGATTGTGGAGCAATTGGTGGAATGAAGATTGGCAAGGGAAACCGAAGTACTCGGAGAAAATCTGCCCCAGCGCCACTTTGTCCACCAAAAATCCCACTTGATGAGACCAGGGATCGAACCCGGACCGCCGCGGTGGGAAGCCAGCGACTAACCACTTGAGCTATGGCACGGCCCTTGAGAATATTTGTTTTTGAAGTCTCCATAATTAGCCTTTATGAACTGGGTTTGAAGGTGCAGCGTGTGTTTTTCAGTATGTTGCGCCGTTTTGACAGCCATAATTGCATGTTGAGCGATGATGTAGGATATCCCATGATTCAGCTCTCAGTCCATTTCAAAGTCATATAATTCTTCAGAGCACACAGTAAGGCATATGTTAGCTGCTGAATGTAATGTTACCTGTGCTTCTCCACACAGAATATGAATATACAGTTCCGCAAATGGATGCGTTGGTATGGCAAGAAGTACGGGGACTACCGTCTCATCAAGGGAGATTTCCTGACAGATGAGCACCGCGAGAAGATTGTTAGCGCTACCATTGTATTTGTTAACAACTTTGCGTTCGGCCCTACTGTTGATCACATGCTGAAAGAACGCTTTGCAGACCTGAAGGATGGTGCCCGCATCGTGTCATCAAAGTCGTTCTGTCCCCTCAACTTCCGTATCACAGATCGCAATCTCAGTGGTAAGTGCTCTCATGATATGTTGTTGTCTAGTGCTCGTAATGCAGACGTAACAAGGACTCTTAATTTATTGTACAAATAATTGTTTTTAATTGTGGCAGTTCTTCGTCTGATGTAGACATGGCAGATGTTAGAAGCACGTCAAGTGTAGCGGATCCTGTGGCGTTTGTTTCATTGTATCCAGAACAGTGTTGTTCTACAGTTGATATTTTAAATTCATTTTATTTTGATTGTGAAATGTGACTTGTTCTTGCTTCCAGACATTGGCACCATCATGCATGTCTCCGAGATGTCTCCGCTGCGTGGCTCCGTCTCCTGGACCGGCAAACCCGTCTCTTACTATTTGCATATTATTGATCGTACCAAGGTAGTGAGTGTTTCATCGAATGAGTAAGAGTTGGAATTCTTCTGTAGGATGTGAACTTCTGCCTGAAGACCAGCTTTATGAACTGAGGTTTCTCATGGTTTTCCTCTGGTCCCTGCTGGCAGGTGTTACAAAGCCTCTGCATATCTTATTGTCCTATCATTTGTTGCTGAGCAAGGACAGTGTTTCAACCTCTTGAGGCAGTCTTTAAGTGATTTACTTCATGACCTTGGAATCCTATTTTAATTTTTTGGTAAAACCACTTGAGAAAGGTTGAGTCAAACTTGTGAGCTAACTCTTTGACCCTTCACTGTATCTGTGAGTGAGCTTCATTATGAATACACAATGAGTAAAATGCAGCAATTCTTAACAGCATTGGCCCCAACAACTTTGCAGCTGACATATCTTCCAGCCTACCATTTATAGTAGCGCAGTAGTCATTGGCAGTAGTTCACAGCAAAGAAAGATTGGCATATCTGCAAGAGGTCCAGAGAGAAGTACTACTCTCTCAGGGTGCATTAAGAGAGAAACAAGTTCAAACTGTAGTCTTCAGTGGCCAGACCCATCATCTGCAGTAATGCAGAGTAAGCGGCCAGACCCATTTATGGGAGTGGAGGAGTTCAGCTCCTCTGACTGCCAAACTAGTAAAATAGCTTTGTATGTTCTGAGGGCTACTCTTCTGGCCACATACAGCACAAATGATATACAGATGTCTAAACTGTTGTTTGTGGTACTGAAACCACTTGTATTGAACTATGCCTGAATGACATATGAAACAATGTTGTCACATATTTTCTGTCAGTATATAGCAAAAATAATTAATTGTAGTTTAAAGACTGTAGACAGTAAACAATTATTTGGATGAACTTCATGTTTCAGACAGTAAAGAATATTTGATATACACTGTGCTTCAGATATTGTTTTGTCTTCTTTCAGCTCGAGCGATACTTCCAGCGGCTCAAGAACCCAAAAGTGCGGGTGAGTATGTTCTTTATCGGTATGAACAGCCTTTGCAAGGCAGATCTGAGCTTGGAAGTATAATGGTCATGCTCAGGTAGGTTACTGCCAAAACTAAACATTCGCATGATGTGTGTACAGTCTGTTGTCAGCTGTATGTATTGGTATGTGCTGGGAATGTGGGACTTGAGATGCTAACATTGAAGTTGCCGCAGGGTGGTGGTGGATCGGCGGGGTCCGGAACAATGTCTGCTGGTGGCGAGGAGGAAAATACTCCGCCGCGGTCGTCGCGAGATCGAGCCCGTCGGGACCTGACCAAGCAACTGAACTTGGACACGAGTTCCAACAGTTCACGAGACAGCGATGACAGCACCTCTGTGACCACCATGTCGTCACGCTCCCGAGTGGTGACAGGCCCAACCACCCGCCGGGCTTGGAGTGATTGGTGTTCCAACTCAAACAAGGGCAAGAGCAGCCAGAGCGAGGAGGAGAACAACAGTGGCAACATCAATGGTGAGTTGCGTTCACATCTCTGTTTACAAATAGTAACCAGACTACCACTGGCACTCTGAGCATTGCAGATGACACAATATGAACATCTTTAGAAATCGAGGCAGGCGTGACCAGTTTTATTGTGTTTGTAGTTTTGACCATAGATGGCACAGAGAGAGTGTGATTCTGTGATGTCCATTTTGTTGTGAGTGTGCTTTCTGAGATTTAGTTGGAACAGAAAGTTACATGAGATTGTTATTATGGTTACAGTCTTTTGGGATGCGGCACCATGTTGTCCTGTTAGATAAGTACCAGCATTTCAGATTATCCTGCAACCACCTCCATCTTCCGTATTGAGGTCGCAGTCTGTTGCTTGAAAATATCATTATCTGTTCAGCGTCACAGCCTAGATGACTTTAATTTTAAAATTAATGGAGTTTTTAAGTTTGAAGCCATGCTTATGGCTCAGTTTGAGGTTTTATATGTGAAACACGCTCCATGATTCTGAGCTCATTGTGTTTCTGTGTCTGCAATTGTTTGGAACAGGCAAGAGCAGGGCGCGTCAACCAAAAAAGCTTCGTTGCAAGCTGCCACGTGCAGGCAACAAGCCAACACCCATGATGCAGCAGACACGGGCCACTGCGCAGTCAAAGAGGGGATCCCGTGGACGAGTCAAGAAGGGCAAGCCAAAGAAGACAATCAAGATTAATGGATTGGACCTCCTGCATAGCCAGACTCTACTCAGCACGTCCCCACAAGGTGAGTTGTAGCGCCATGTTCTGCCTGTGAGCTAAATCTTTTCATGTTACATTGTCTAAATAACATGTTATCGCTACAAAATTTCTGGAACTGGAAACTGAGACCTTACGAGTTGTATGTGTGTGTGCAGCCATAGGCAAGAAGCCCCCTCCAGCACCTGGCTGTGTTGACCAGCAGCTGACCAGCCTCACACTTAGCACCAATTCGGTGCACACAGAGCTGGACATCCCGCCTGCTCCTGCTGACACGCCGTATGCCCTACAGATCTTACTGGACATGTATCGTGCACAGTTCTTGCAGATGGTCGAGATAATGAAGAGTCCCCACTATCGGGATGATGTTAACCTGCAAATCGAACGAGACAAGGTAAGTGGCTCGCTCTGCTATGTCTTCATTTTGGTTTGCGAAGGGAAAACCATATTTAAAAATAGTGTGGGAGTGTGGGGACCATATTGGTTTGGTAACAGATAGGGGTCAGTGGTGACCTGCTGTGAATTTCGTAATGAGCTTTCAGTTTCTGAACTGGAGTGCTCTTCTGCATAGAGCAAGTGAGTTTGTTGTTAGATTATCCAGACAGAGATGGAAGAGAACATCCCCTAACACTAGAAGTTTAAGAAAGAGGTATTACTGCAACCAGAAATATAAGGTGCATCTATAGCAATAGTAGCTCAGTTGGTAAAGTGACAGGCTGCAAACAGGATTATAGTGTATATATGTTTTTGTGTGTGCATTACAGGTGGTAGCAATGTGCTAAGCTTCTCAGATGGTTCAGAACTGCAGAGTAGCAGTAGAATGTGACAGTTTTCAGATGCGGTTGATGGGGGATGGATCAGGTGGAATAAAACGAAAGCACTTTCACTGGAAAGAAATAGTATAGTGCAATATGTATGACACCATATTCATTTTTTAAATTACATTTTTAAATGCTGTCCACAGCATGTGATACATTCTTGACGTCTCGGCCGCAAGTTCTCCGAAACTCTTCAGGATTAGTCATCTATGTATGGTTTCTGATTGCCATAGCTTCTTCAGCCTTTGCACTGGTAATGACATGAAAGTGTTTGTCGCAGGAGCGCAACCAGAAACTGAGGAGTCGCGCTGCCCAGCTGGAGAAACAGATCAAGGTACTGATAGATGACAGCGTGGCACTCCTGAAGGCCCGGATGTCAGAACTTGGTATCAATGCCAGTTCCCCTGGTGACCTCTTGGCCAAAGCAAAGGAGATCGTGCTGCGTCACAAGGAACTTCAGGCAAAAGCATCAAAGCTTCAGGCCCAGGTATATTTGATATCATATTATTTTATGATGATTTATTGATTTTTTTGTCGATTTGCAAGTTGCCCAGAAAATGTCTTAATCGATAAACTGTAATGTTTCATTGACCACTGCTGAATGGAGTTACATGTTTTTGGGCTGTCAGCCATATTGATTCAGAGTGAATTTTGATATTTGGGAGCCCCCTTCATTGCCAGGAGCCAACATGTTGAGTGATGTGGATTGGTCTGTGGGGTGTGACGTCAGCTCCTGTCCGTGGTCTGTGTGCGCACTTCTCCCCTCTACTTTCTCTACTGTCCCCTTCTCTCCTTCCCCTTCCGAGCCGACTTAGCGGCCTAACGTCTGGAGCTCTAGGCTTTTGGCTTTCCAACCGTCGATGGGGTAGGTTGTTCTCGTTTCGGACCACCGGTCGAGGTCATCCTCGACCGTCTAAATTAATTTCTCTACATAGTATTCTATCTTAGAACAGCGAACTCTGCAATCATTCTCATACAGGTATTTACATTATGTTTGTATTCTTTCTTTATTAATATATTATATTTATTCTTTGTTAATATTTGATTTGGTTATTTCTGTTTGGGTATTTCCGCCTTGCTGATTTCTTTGTCCTCCCCTGCTCGCCCGGTCCTGTGATCACGTGAACCTATACGCAACCTGGAGTATCCTCTGTAGGGTACCTACGCTTCAAAAAAGTGGTAGCAGAGCGTGGTTTCGCTTCAAAAAAGTGGTAGCAGAGCGCGGTTTCGCTTCAGGGGTACTGAGTCAAATCCTTATTGGCCAGCAACTGCACTGAACAAATGCCATGGATTGTGGAGGTGACACTGCTTGAGGCTTCCATCCGGCTATTGCTGCTAAGGAATGAATGTTACCATGCCAATATTGATGCGAACAGAATTTCTGGATGCTGGGAGGGGAAGGTTGCTCTGTACATATTGGATAGGGAGGGCCAATCCAGCGGCCTCAACATAGAACATTGCTTCATATGTGATGTGTAATGGCATCAGTAGCTGTGACATGTTGTCATGTTACAGTAGATCACAATGGGGAACATGGGTGAATCACTCTGGCATGCTGTCTACAGTTCATAATCATTTCGTATTCCAAATTAAGCAGCACTCATTGAGGCCATTGGCAAGATAGGTTACCACTTGATGTCATTTGGTGTCACAGGTGTTCTTGACTACTGTCTCAGAGCAGGTCCACATTTGTGAAGGGGTTGAGAACTCAATATAAATACTGTTATGATGGCTTCATGTTGCAGGTGACATCTGTTGAGCATGAACAGGCCAAGTATGTAAGTCTGCGGCAACAGGAGATACTGGAGAAGTACCGCAAATCAGGGCTCATGAACGGAATGTCTAGCAACCAGCATCTGGATGTATCAGGCCTGACCCAGGAGTACATCCTAAAGGAGATATCTGCCACACTGTCCCACAGAAAGAAACTGCATTCAAAGGTGTCACGCCTGGAAACAGAACTCACTGCCCTCGAAAAAGTGAATGATGAACGCAAATCACAGCCCCTGGCCAGCTCGAGCCTTAAGATGATCAGTGCCTATGCCAATGGCAGCATTGTAGCAACAGTTGCATCTAATGAGAAAGTCCCTCATGCCCACCCCCCTCTCCAGCCACCCCTCATGATCACCAATCATCACCATGTTGTCCCCCCAGTGAAACCTCAGCGCAAGTCACGAGAAGCTCGTAGCCGGTCTCAGGACTGGCCTGATGTCCCCGACATCGGCAAGATTGAGGAAAACAACCCAGAGATCCTGGCACAGAAGATTTTAGAGACAGGACGTCAGATAGAGGCAGGAAAAATCAAGGAGACCACCAAGTTCAATGGAAGTCACACAAATGCTGGCGATGGGCATGACATTACACATGTCAACAATGGCAGATATGGCAGGCATGGGGCAAACAGTCACCCGTACCAGTCTCAGATTGGCTCCACAGGAAAGCTGACAGCGGAGACACTTCCTGTCCCCCGCGCAACTCCACGTACTGGCTCCATCACAGGATCAGACTCTAAGGCAAAGCATGGACGGCCCAGTAGTGCTAACAAGCAGTTGGTGAGCTTCACAAGCAACCGGGCTCAAGAACCACCGCGTGTCGCCAATTTTGAGGACCGCCTGAAGAGTATTATCACCAGTGTGCTTAATGAAGATCAGCAGAATCGCCAGCAACAGCAGGCACTGATGAGCACAGGTGGTTACCCAAACACCTCTGTAGTGAACACGTCGATGAGTGGATATGGGAGCAACTGCTATGGAAGTACCAGCTACAGTACGGCCTCTGGCATGGAGGTCGTGAAGGCAAGTCGTGAGTGTAAGAAAGAGGAGAGGTATAGGGGAAGAGACTCATCCGTCCAGTCCAGTAGGAACTTGTCTGCTCAGCCAGACTACACACAGGTTTCCCCAGCCAAGCTCGCTCTGCGGAGGCATCTGTCCCAGGAGAAACTGGCAGCTGCCTCTGCTCAGCAGCTGCAGGCTCTTGGAAGCAATGAAAAGGGTTTTGTGGCAACGCGAACAATCGGAGATCTTGTTAGTGGAGAGATCGAGCGCACGCTAGAGATCTCAAACCAGAGCATCATCAATGCTGCAGTGGACATGAGTACCATGATGTCAGCTACAACGCCTGCCAATATTGTGAATCAGAATATCCCACCCCGCCCAGAGAGGGTTAATGTGCGCATCTCACGTATCGTGGAGGACTCACTGGCACGCAAGGAAACTGAGGATCACGTGGGTGGCAACAGCCCATCTCCGCTACATCGTACTCCAGTGTATTCCCCCATCTCCAGGCCAAGCAGTGCAGAGGGGGGAATGAGCACCACTGGAAACCCCCCCACACCCACAGGAATGCTTCATCCCCCCACGCAAATGCTGGAGGGTCTAGCATACCCACAGCACCGACCAAAGTCTCCACCTCCACCACACCATGGCCTGGCTACCTTCCATGTTGCATACACCCACCACAGTGCTTCCAGCTATCCTAGCACTGTGGCCCCCCCTGCCTACTCACCCCGCACCACAGTGCTGTACCCCCCTTCTTCATCAGCTGCCTACATCCCAAAGACGACCGTGTCACAGCATGTGACCTCATCATCCCTGTCAACTTCATGTCGCTATGCAACTTCAAGCAACGAAGGAGGTTATACCCCAGTGCAACTCCCACGTGCTGACATTAAACCCTATCATGAATCATATTTCTCGGACACAAAGCCTCTCATCATCGTGAACTCGACGTCTGAGCACAAGCCATCTACTAGTGTCGCCACGAGTGAGGTGTCTGCCAGCAAGCCCCTTTACTCTAAAAGTGGTTCAGAGTCATTTGGCCCAGTGGAGGGTCTTGCTGCAACACTGCATGCCCGGATAGTGGGGGGACAGGAAAACAGCTCGAAGCCTGGGCAGGATTCATTGGTTGTGAAGGAGGAGGCTGATGACCGGGCAGCCAGACATTCAGACTGCATGATGTACAATGACAGGCATTGTCACCAGAGAAGAGAGCCAGCAAATTTGGGTCAGAGTGAGGCTAAGACAGAGGATCGTGGCGAGGCAAGTCGTGTTGCTGCAGCTGTACCTGTGCCTGCCATGGATGTTGTCAAGACAGAAGCAAACGAGGCCATGAAGGTGCCAGACAGTGCTGAGGATGCATTCGGGAGAACGGGCCATCACTACCAAAATGGCAGCTTGAAGCGTGCATCACCTGTGATCCAGGCACCGACTCGATCACACAAGAAACAGCTCTTGGAGACTGGCATGGCACATGGCGAGACAGACGCAGGTGTGTCCTCTGTGTCAGCAGTGGTGTCAAACGCCAGCCAGCCACTCGCCATTAGTGCCATTTCATCTCCAGAGTTGAACTCTGGGAAATCTACACCTGTACCACCAATTGATGACCCATCGGAACGACGGCGGCGGCGTGTGGAGGACAGAGAGGAAGGTATGAGCTATATGCCATTGGTCATGGGGGTTGGTTTGTGGCTGGTGGTGTGCATGTGTGGTGGCAAGTACGGAGAGGGTGGAAGCTGCTTCGACTTGCAGGTTGAGCTGTCTGGTAAGAATGGCCAGAAGCCCTACTCAGTCCTCACATTTACCTTATAAGGTTGCAGAAGAAACATTAGAAACCGTAAGATTCCTGACCCAGATTCAAATCTTTACAAATGACAGTCCTGAGTTGAGACCTGAGGTTTCATATTGTCTTGTTGAGTTGTAACACTGTGAGCTCTGGTAGGCGGCTACCAGTGTTTTGTTTAAGGTGGACTTCTCCTTTAGGATGAGGACACTTCTGGTATGGGGAAAATACAGAACTCTGCCATCTCTGTGATCATATGCAGACTGCTGGAAGAGGTGTCAGAGAATCCAAAAGGGAAAGTGTAGCACTTGCCACACAATCAAAATGTAAGTTTGTGGGTAGTGGGTGAAGGCTTCTGATGCCAGGCCGGTAGAGGTACAGATTGATTATTATGATACACAGGTTTGCGTGCCAGAATGGCATATCTGCAGGTCGAAACAATCCACCACACAGCAGCTTCAATATGACCACTGCCCAATGTAGGATACTTGTAATTGTGCATGAATAAGGCGGCTCCTCTCACTCTCAATCCAACAAACAGTTTGAAGCATGTCAGTCAGTGGCCACTATGTTGGCCAGCTACATATGTTTTGTGTGTCTTAATGCTGAGGCCAGATTTGTTCACTTTGAGACTGCAGTCTTCTAGGGTGTGGTGCTACATAGCCCAGCGTGTGGTATCGAGTATTTTGGGTGCACATACGGCCCCTCCGTCTTCACTTGAACCCTGAAGGTGTAGGTATTATGTTTGACTACAAGATGGTATGATGCCACATCCCCAGGTACCAGTTGCTGGCATGCGAATCACAGATCTCATGAAGTTATTTGCTGAGTGTTACTGAGAGGTGTCATAAGGCAATGGACTGCAGCTTGGATGACCACTCTTCTTTTCCCGGTAGAACCCTAGGGCCAGCCTTCCAACTCTGTAAATTGATGGGTCTGAGGCAACCACATCATGATGCCAGCTGATCATCGAAATAAGGGAAGACGTTGTGACGTTATATTCAGGGTTGAAGTGAAAATGGAGGCATTGTGTTCCTCCAGACTTGTAACTTTCTACCAGACTGCACAGTGTCACAATGCAGAAGACTGCAGTCTTAGTTACATCTTTCTTCTAAAACCAGATTTTTATCAAAAACAGTTTTCTTTCATGTTGCTGCAAATATTTTGGGCATATGGTGATCCTGACTGAGGTCTTGGCATGATTTCCGTCAGTGCCACATTTGGACAGTGCGTTTGAGTTTGATTCTTCTGCATCTGAGTCATAATCATCCACACACTTGCACTTCAATTCTAAGCACTGCTCTTGAGATCTCTGTCATGTGGGCTACTGTGGCTCTGATGGTCAGATTGTAACTCAGCAGGCATTGAGAAGATGCGTGACTTAGGCCCATTGAGCCAAGCACATGCAGTGTAACAATAATGTGATAAAAGTTAAGCAGGTAACAAGAGAGAGAAAGTATTTGATGGAACTTTGTCCCATAGGCTGCTTGTCTGAATGTAATCTGGTACAGCCTCCAAATTGCTGCATGTGAGGTTTCTTTGCCATGCAGGTGGGGGTGGGAGTGAGCCCTGCTGTTGTTTGTTGTTGTGATGAGTAATTCTGCTTTGCATCCCTAGGCAGCACAGTGTTGTGGAGGGGCAGGTGCACGCGTAGGCACTGTAGTCAGTAGTCTCGGTCAGTTAGGCACTTCAGCACACTCGGTAAGTATCTGGCTTCCGCGCCTCGGGTCACTGTGCACCTCGCTTGAACAACAGTGTGTAACGTTATGCTGCAGCTACTGTGCCCCTGAAGGCTGAGTGGACTCAAGGGTCCATGTGAAAACAGTACCCAGCTTACACTGTAGATGCAATATGTTTGGAAACGTGGACAAGAATGAATGAAAGGTTAGTTGGGTGTTGCTGAAGATGGGACAATAGGTGCTTGACGTTCTGAGAGATGTCATATAGTGGCCTTCTGGATTAGGACACCATGTAATGGCCCTAAAAAGCGTTCCTTGCTACTCTTGCTTTTGTCCACTATGAAGGGACAATTACTTTTCATTCCTCCTGCCCTCGGGTACTTAGTTGTCCGTTTTGAAGGCCCACAGTTCCCATTCACCCGTCTGGGCCCTGTGAGTGGCCACCCTCTTCCTTTCATTCTTCGTAGAGGCACCCAGTTTTGTAACTGAGTGTGGTTCTCCTACCAGACTACACAATGTGAGCCCTCCTGAGAACTTCATGTCTGACATTCCGAGAGAACTGTTTTTGCACACTTCAGATTTTGGTTTTCTGGTTGCAGAAGGGCCCAGTGCATTCAGAATGTGGTGATGGATTTGAGAAATGCCATAATAGTGGCACTGCTTTCTGTGCAGCAGGCCCCACTTGCCCCCTGTGGCCCCTTTCTGGCACTAGTTTTGTTGGAGCGAGGTGGACAGATCTGAGAGATGCGGTGGCATTGCTGCTTCTTTGCTTTGGTTCTCATGCACCAACAGAAAACTGTATACATGCTTTTTATGAGTGTGACTTCCTGTTCAGGTTAGAATGTTGCTCACAGTTTGTGGTATTCTGTACCAGCAGTTCCCACACTTGATTGATGTTTTCACATATCCTGCGCTGGTGGAGCTTCAAACCTCATGTGCATGACTTTCAAGAAATAAGGTTTCTGTAAATAAACACAACACTTGTAATTATGGAGTTGTAATTTATCGTTGTTTGACTTCAAAAGAACATCAGTAGCCAGAAAACTTGTTCCATGGTGTGGCCTTCTGTGTCACGACGAGGTGCTGTAGGGTATACAGGTATGAACAGACTCGCCTAGTGACAGGCAGTCATGTGATGCGTACCAACCTACCAGATGACGTAGTGTCATACCACAGGAGGCCACACCATGAAACTTTACAGCTGTGAGAACCTGAAATGTTCCTATTTTGTTGAGATAAAATTCTTGCATCTGTTCCTAGATCCTGAAATATTTCACGTCCACAGTTTAGAAATTCCAATTGTGGCAGTGTCTACTCAGAGAGTGTGTGTACCATTTTGTGTTTGTGCAAGGGAACCATATGTGGGTATGCCCTATAAAAACAACATTATGCCCAAAACTTTAAGTTAAGTCCTATTGTGTGTTATAGAGTGTTGTCCTCCTGAGGCACAGATATGATGACTATATAGTCTTGGTACTGAACAGAAGTCGCTACGTGGCCCAAAGGGAGAAACCACTAACCAGTGTCAGTGAGTACCTTGCTAAAATGCAGAGCACAGGGTTGCTGAAAAGTTGCAGCATGCCATAGGCTGGGCAGTTTGTACTAGCTTCTCACTGGGAGCATTTGGTTCAATTCCAGATCACTGTGTGTGAGATTCTTGGTGGTCAGCATTGCACCAGGCCAGGTTTGCTCCAAATTTCATCCATTTTCCCCAGTTAATCATTCTGCCATTACTGCATATTCATTTGTCACTACCTTGAGGTGTGTGATAGCCATGGCAAAGTATCACATTATCGCATAGTCGTGCTTGGATGCAAAGTTAGGAAGTTACCCTTTAGGTTTATTGCAAGTCTCACAACCAAAGATAGATAACAGTAGTTTGTGTTAAATCTAACCCTGTCAGTATGTTGCAGCATATGCATTCTGAGAGAGAATTCAAAGTGGCCAACCTGTATGCAGCATAAATTCTCTTTGGGTTGGCTGTTGTTGATGTTGCTCCCTGTTTTGCTGAAGCAACCAGCAGTGTGCATATTTCAAGCCATACAGAAGCAGGTACTCATGCAGCATGTGTAGCAACATGCAGTAATGTGGCTAATAGTATCCCTGCTGCATTCAGCCCTCAAAACCACTTGTTACTGGTCATGACTCTGGCCTCTGAACTGATATCTCTCCAGTAGTGTTAGCAGGGGGTGTGAAAAGCAGTCAACCAATCAGATAGAAGGCTCCATGCAACAGGAAGAGGAGATGTACAGTCTGCTACAAGTCATTGTAAAGCATCGCTGCTATTTCTTACTGAAAGCAGATGTACCAGATGTCCGGAAGAAATGTATCCAAAATTAAATAATTATATCTCAAAGTATTTATTATACACATTTATGGGTTACAACATTACAAAGGGAAACTATCAAAGATTTTTTCTCAGTATATAACTTTCTCAGTAAATTTCAGTGTGGGCTCCGTTGGTGGCATGACAGATATTCAGGTGATATTCAGCCTTGTTCAACATTGCTTGAAGCACCCCTTATGTGGCCTTGTAGATGTTGAAGGTCATTGATCTTAACCTAGCAGACAATGCTCTTCACATAATACCACAAGAAAAATCCAGCGGGCGTTAAATCTGGTGACCTAGAAGGCCACGCGATTGGTCCACCTCTGCCAATCCATCTCCCAGACCCAGGGCCATAGTGCAGTTTGAAGGATTAGGTCGCTTGAAAAATGTAATGACCTCATTAGGAACCGAACCCACAACCTTCTGGCTTGCAGCATAGTGCTTCAACCAACTACGCTACCGCGTGCCCCTTTGGCTGCAGTATTTTCTGCATTGCCATGTACAGGCTGAGGGTGATCTGTTTAATCTGTACCCTAATAGAAAACATTTTATATCTCCAGTGTATGTTTGCTGAAGCATATGCACTTCTGCTCCATATTGGAATGCTGTGGGACTCTTCAGCAGGATGGCACAACCTGAACAGCTGTGGATGTACTGAGAGACAGAATTATTTTGCAGATGAAAGTGCATCATGGCAGAAAAATGTTGAAATGTGTTTAAGAGGATTGTATTCAGACCAGTCGAGGACAATGCTAGCCTGCTTTGTGAACAATTATATGTTTTATGTTCAGTGAGGTATAAAATAAGATGCTTTCTATGTCGGTACATTTTAAATGGGTGATGATGTTGCATTTCTTTTACTTGGTAAGTAAGTTTAGTAGTAATTTTGGTAGTGGTATATAAAAGTGATAATTCAGTTAATTTCCTCTGTCTGAACATTGTCTTTTGAAAATATGGGTTCACTTCTAGGTTTTGGGCGTGTGGTACTTGGGTGTGTACTGTATGTTCCATGAGAATGCTCTATGAAGTGTTCACAGTAGTTGCATGGCCTGCTACAGGGCTCAGCTGCATGCTTGCTTACCTCAGATCAGTAGTATATTGGTTGTGGGTTCGAATCCTGCTGCAAGACAGGTGTGTTCTTAGTGTCCTTGCTGGTTGTTTGGTGTCTGGGAAAGTGTTATGGCTGACAGAACTGTGATCACACTAACACGCTGCTGTAGAATGAGGTGTGATAGATGTGAGGTTATCATGGTGTAGTGTGGTGTGTAGGGCTGAGCAAACCAGCTGGAAACTGGTGCCCCTAATGAGGCCAGATTGTTGGTACCAACTGCCCTTCCCCCACCTTCATCTTTTCCCACAGATAAACCGGACCATATTAGGGGCCACCCGTCTTATCTAATTGATTCCCTCATGGCCCCAGTCCCGGTCTTCCTGGCCCTATATCATGTACCATTGTTGCTCACTCATTTGGCTTTTATACCCTGTAAAAGGAGGCAATATGAAGTGCTGGTGCTTATGTGCTGTCATAATGAGGGGACCGTAGTATGCATTACTGGAAGGTTTCTTCCAGACATAGCTCAACATTGCAGATACCACAGCCCGTTCACTTAACGATACTTACATTGCATTTCACTGAATGTGTCTCATCAAAATATTTGAGTTCAGAGTTGGAGGTCTGAGGAAACGTGCATATTCATGGCATGCACCAGTTATCTGTATGATGAATTTGTTCTGGGGAAAATTGGTAAAGTTTCTCTGACTGTATAGTTCAGTCATTTTGAATCAGTATGGACGAAATCAAAATTTGCCCAACGGGGTTTTAGTAAGAACATCCAATATTAAAATGTCCTTAGTATTTCATAGTGGAGTATACTGTTGCTCTGTTGGTGAGGTGGCGTATCCTGAGGATGTGCGCTGATTGATTTGTGTGTTAACAGATGGAGAGGAGGACGAGGTGGGGCTACGTAAAGTGGACAAGTGGCAGGACAAGATCAGCAGTGGCTTTGATCGCCTCATGTCATTTGCTTCCACTGAGCTGGACAAGCGACGTCGCAGCACCGAGGGTGCCTCTCCCCGTGGTGGGGACTCTGCTGCCAGCTGCAACACCAGCCCAGACAGTGGCATAGGCCATGGAGATCCACCTCCACCACCCCCAGCACCAACCCCTGCCAAGAAGCGGTCCCCATCTGATACAGGAGGGAATAGCCCAGGTCCCAAGATGCCTCGCCTATTCAAGACACCTGCATCAAAACCGTCCCCTGACCGTGTAGGACGGGATTCTCCCCCCATCCTGGAACCTCCACTGATAGATGACACCACAGGTCCCCCCAGAACGCCTTCACCATCGTCATCAGCTGACGAACATCTCCCCGTGTCTGTGGGACCACCTTTCAGCCCGGCACCCCTTGATGGGCCCTACAGTCCAGTTTCTACGGGGACCAGCATCTTGCCGATCAATGGGGAGTCTAGCAGCCCACCTCCACCTCCACTGCCCCCATCCGTCCCACTGAAGTATCAGCGCACTGAATCACAGGAGCACAAGCATCACTTCAAGAAGAAGTTCTTTCATCGAGAGAGCTGGAGTAGCAGTGGCCACTGGGGTAAGACTGGCGGGAAGTTCCGTCCCAAGGGCAAGGACTGGGAATGGCACAGCAACAAGAACACAGCTCCCATCCCACCCGACTTCTCTGTGCCTCCCCCTCATATGGTAAACACCTCACTGCCACCACCCACCCCTCGTTTCCACCATCACCCACGGTATCGTTCCAGCCACAACTGGGAACGCTATGGCTCGGGCTTTGCCCCCCCACAAGACATGGCCAGCCAGCCCTGGCCTCACTAGTGCGTGTTGTCACTGCCAACTGTAACGTACTGCCTGCTAACAGTGCTGCCACCCCATGTTTTGTAACACACCTTGCTCAAGACAGGATTATGGCTAGAGGCTGTTGTGTTACTACCACTGCCACATTATTTATTGCTATGCGCAGCATCGAAGTCTTGCGAGGTCTTTGTTAGTTCTCATTTTGTTGCTCTTCCCTTGTTTTGATGGAAATAAAATTGGGCAAAGATATTTAAACATTAAAATATGTGAGGAGTGGAGTGTACATAAGGAAAGTTCCCCCTGTGTGCATGACGGTACACGTTGAGTGAGCGCAAGTCTAAATGTGTGCGTGTCTGACCAAGTCCTTATGTCATTGTATAAACATATAGCTGTAATTTTCATTCCATCATGGAGACTACCCTGGGAGGTTTCAATATTTTATAATATTAATATTATTATTATTATTAATTATTACTGTTGTAATGATGACAGATATAGGGAAGACCTGATCAGTAGTTGAGTCACTGCCATTTTTTTTGTATTTCTGCCGAACACTGCCACACAGAGAGCAGGAAATGTGTTCATGAGGTTCAGAACTGGATCTCTGGCTCCTGGCTGTAAGTAGCAAATGTACATAGTCATTGTTTTGTTTGATTTTGTTGATACGTTTTCCTGTAGGATCAGCCAACATGTCATTGCACAAGCTCGGTCATTTCATTAAATCGATGGTTGTACATATGCGTCTTTGTCTCTTTCCATGATCCGTATGTCTGCATGGGAACAGTACTGACATCTGGCTGATTCTGTCTGAAAATATTTTGAGTGTTTTTTTTTTAAACGTATGTGTTTATTTCAGAAAGATGTGGGATGTGTTGTGTACAGCTCACAGACAGAATAGAGAGATCAGGCATAATGATGACACTTAGATGAAGGGAAAATGGAGAATGGATACCTTCAAAGTGAGTTTTACAGTACAAAAAAGAAAAAAAGGAAGAAGTATCAGATTGTTGGTAGTTAGTCTCAGAATTTGTACTGCCGTTGTTTTGTGAATGCTGCAAATCCACGATCATAGCTGAGATGTAACCTGTCCTTGTGTAATAAAGTGTAAGAAATTGTAAATTTCATTAAGTTTGTTGTGTTTGTAAGCACCATGAAACTGATCGCCTTACAGGCACTGTACCTGTGTTTCGCTCCCTACAAATAACTTGAATTAGTGGATGAACTTTCTTGGTTCTGGGTATGAATCTCAACCCCATCATTAACTCCCATGTAATTCCCACCCCATTCATGTTGGACAATGTGGTGGAGTGCTCGTAATCACAAGTTCCCATGTTCAAATCTCATTCCAGAAAATGGTTGTTTTTTGTGATCCCCCCCCCTTATATCACTCCAAGCAAATAGTGAGATAGTTACTTTAAAAAAGCCATGACTGGTTCCTCTGTTGCCCCTGCAATTCAGTATTACTTTGCCTTTAAGTTCCTCCACAGAGTGTGTTATAAGGAGCTGACAAGTCACTGAGCTACTCAAATTCCCTGCCCTTTATAGAGGTCAAATATTCATTATCATGGTGAGTACTTTTTTTTTTGTTGGTGTATACATTCCCTACAGTACGGACAATATTTTGTAAGATAAGGCACCGACTAATTAATATTAACATCTACATCACGAGCCTCCTATACAATCTTATATACAAAAAGAAAAAATATAGTATATTCCAAGTTGTCCATGGGAACATGCGAAATTACATAAACCAACGACTGATTCGATGTTATAAAACATCAATTAAAACTTTATTCTTGTTTTACAATATAACTTCTGTTTTATATAATCTGATTGTGTTTTTTACGTCAAGTGTTTTATATGTTTAATAGTACTGTATCCAGTTTAACAGTACTGCAGTTCAGTGGTGTATATATGTTAACCATGTATTTGCCTGATGACGTAGCTGGGCGTTGGCCTTGATATTTGTTGTGTTGACGGCTAACAAAGAGGTTGTACGATGAGCACTGCCTTCTGGGGTGTGATGGCATGTGGTGTGATAGGTACTGACGTTTCAGAGAAATCTGCTGCCTCTGTCCTCAGGGTAGAAGGAAGAGTAAGAAAGTAGAGCTGTAGGGAGGGAGGACAATCAGGGTTGCAAAGCAGGCTAGCCTGAGACAATGGGCCTTAAAAGGGCAAATGAAATTTTGAAGATTTTTGCCATTTTTTCTGTGGGGGGGCACCATGGGAAAGAGGAAAGAAAGTGTTTTCTTTTCTTGCGCAGGTTACTCCTTGACCCTAATGATGGAGTCCATGTTCCGCCAAAACATCACCAGCTTCTACCCTACTACCAAGTGTCACATCCTCTTCATGGTCAGTGCTGTGAGAACCTCGGATGGGATGCAACACTGTAGCCTGGCAGAAGTTGGTGGTGCTGTGGACTCCATCTTCAGGCTTGTATAGACCAAGCAAGTAACCAGGGTAGAGGAAGTGCTTGAAAAGGATCAGTCCTGAACCTGAACAGGTTCAGAACAGTCATTACACAGCATCTGTCTGATGAGCTGCCAGTGATAGAACTTCACAGGAAATGTTTACAGTTGACATGACTCTCATCTCATATTCATAATATATATTTTAGACACTTGCACCCATATCAGTGCTTCACCCACTGTCGTGTCAGTGGCAGGGACTTGGGCAGCCAGCTGTAGCAGTCCTTGTACATATGTAGTGTGTTTGCTACCCATGTCTTTCCCATGTCATGTGCTTGGCTGTGGCAGGCGAAAATGTTAGTTAGAAGGTGGTTGGTTGCAGCTGATTCCTCTAACCGTGGTCACTGTGGGATGCCCCAGTGCCTGACAGCCCCCGTCCCACAAGTTACACCATCCACGTTCTTATGTGAATATTCCTGGATTTTCATCACCAAAATTGGTGTTATCAGTCTGACTTTATGTGATGTCAGTTCAATACTAAGTTAAACTGGGAATTGTTAAGATAATGCCCCCAGACCACCAGAATAACTTTCTGTCACCAGAATATGCTCCTTCAAGAACTATGGGCGCTGTTGGTGGCAGTGATGTGGCCTGAACACTTGGAGTAGATTTGTTCTGAGGAAGCTCAGCGGATGGCGGTTGAGATGCAGGTACTTCGAACTGCTCCACTTCCTTGAAGTAGATAGGTGATGTGAAGACCCCTGACATTTCTGAGGGGCGTGACTGGAACCAGTCCGTTGATATTTGGAAGAAGAAGCGTCCATTGACCCACTGCTGGGAATTTTGCTGCTGTGAGAAAATGCCACTGAGAGAGTCCCCTGTCAGAGTCCCAGCCCAGAGAGGTCTGAAGCTGAAGTCAACAGGTAGTGGGACTGGGGTCTGCCCATCCCAAAGCACAGCACCCGTATCAGACACTACGTAACCAGACGGGACATGGGCACCCAGACGTGTGGATAGCACACGGACTCCTGTCCCCAGCGACCCAAGCTTCAGGTGATGTAGACCCTCTTCCTGCCACAAGGAAAAATCTGGCCCAGGGATGGAGCTGCAAGGAACACGCTCATTTCCGGGGCCAGTGGTGTGCATGACGAGTGGCTGGGCTTTGTGGACTGAGTCTGCGTTGTCACATATGATCCGAGCAAGGGAAGTCCTGCGCAGCTCAGCCAGTTGTCCTGGCAACAGAGCAAACAGAAGTCAAGTGCTTTGGCATAGTGAGCAGTGGTTCAAGGAGAACACGTTTTCCAAATGCATTTGTTCATAGCCATTTTGTAACCCTCAGTCTTATTAATTTATATTCTATGATATCTCAGTTAGGCAAAGTTAAATGAGATTGACATGCAGTGTAAACTGCCAGTACCACAGTTCATCAAATTCTGCTTCATTTGCAAGTGAAACTGTAGGACAGGCAAAGAGCCCCCCCCCTTTATGCTTCCATGTATACTCTTCATACAGTGGATGTGTAACTGTACATAGGGTCATGACATATATACAAAAGAAAGGTAAAGCCATCCCTGTAACAGACCATGGAGGCCCGTACAGTTTGTGAGATGTCAAGGAGCCCACATTTTCTAGACAGTCAGCTCACAGATGGCGGTGAGGTTGTCAGCCTTACCCTCTGGCCACGCTTTAACTCCAGGAATATTTCTGGTACTCATTTCTGTTAGAGGCGAAGTCGACCCCAGGGCCATGATGTGGCTGAGAAGGATTAGGTCAATTGAAAAATCCAATGACCTTATTGGGTATCGAACCCACGACCTTCTGACTTGTAGCATAGTACCTCAACCAACTGTGCTACTGTGTGAACAGATTTTCATTTGTTCTAGGTATTGCAGACACAGCCATAATACGAGATCACATAAAATAATTATCAACTACAGAAAAATGCATTCATTGCATTACTTGTTGTATTCCGCAAAGGCAGACAAAGATTGGGTGCTTCTGCTTGTTTGATAACACAGTTTACATTCTGTTGTATAGATTGGCATCAAATGTGTGAAATTAATATTGTTTACAGCTGAAGGGGCAGGAGGGGTACATGGCTCAACAAATTTGTCATGAGCAGCCCACAGGCCTGCAATTGTTTGGTGCAGGCAGGCAGTTTTAGAAGCGAGTCCCACCTGGTGTGAAGGCCTGTGGCACCTCTGGTGTCTCGTACCAGAACCTGTCTCCCCTCTTGAGTCTGACGAACTGGTCCGTTATGAGACATAACAGAGTTGGGCCCAAGAAACCCCCTTCCAGGGGCTGTTCAGCCAGTGCCCCCGTGTATAGGTCGATGTCATCCACAGATCTGCAGGAACATGAGCAGTATGAAAGGATTTAGTGTGCATGAATAAACATAATTCTTAATTTTTTTATTTGGTGCCTTGAAAATATCTCCGTTCTCGTTACATTTTGTGTTTGGGAGATCTTGGATTCAAATCTTGGACCAAATACCAGCTATCCCATCTATGTTTTTTAACGCTTTCCTCATTCCTTGCAAGTAGATGTTGGTATAGTGCCTCATGCTTCCACAGCCTTCCCTAATGGCATTAGTGCCATATAGTCGTAGCTACTGACAGCATTGTCTCAGCAAACAGTGTCATATGAGTGACTCTTGTTTCACACTGCTGCACCACTTACCTGTACAGTTCAGTCATCTTCTCCAGAGACTTTTCATCAATGAAGTCACTCATGTCGCTGAAATTTCCTGGATGCGAGAGACCACAGCGTTCTCGCCAGGCAGTGTACGTAGGCAACCCATGGTCCCTTCCCCTCTGGATATTCAGGGACACCAGATCGAGTCCGCGTGCTCTCCCGTGGGGGCCTGCAGAGGGAATGGGTTGCTCAAACAGATGCCCAGTCACCTGTAAGACATTATACGATTTTTCTGATATAATTTGTTTTCTGCTAAGATTTATGAAAATTAAAATGATAAAATTGTTCATCCTGTTTGTCATGGATATTTGAGGTTCTTCTGGTGACCCTAAAGATGGGGGCAACAGGTTTCTCCTGAACATGGGTATCCATCAACCAGACTGCATGATGGTGCATCCCAGAAGACTCTGATCTTAATTATCTAAGATTACTGAAGTGCTGATCACAGTGGCCATGTGGTATAAGGCATGAAATGTCTTCGCCCACTTGAATGCTGGTATCGTTGGTTCTAATCACACTCAAGGCATAGATGCTTGTCTGCGTTTATTCTGTGTTTGTGATATCCTGTGTAGGTAGCGGCCTTGCGTCAGGCTTGATCCCCCATCGAAGGAATCCAGCTGACTGCCTAAGATTAAGAAACTGAAGTGAAACGAAGCATTTCACAGATGCCCTGTGCTCCAAGTTGGAGCAACAGAAATAGATGGATGGACAGACAGACAGCCTGGGGTAGTCAAATCAAGACATTGATGCGATTGTCATTAAGTGCCTATAGAGGAAACTATAAATGCATACAGAATATGAGAAATATGAGTAAAAATGTTTCACTACATTACGTTATGGTCTCTTAGAAGGTATGGACTTCATGCCACGAAGGAGATATCCCCTTACCAGATTATACGGTGTCAATCCCAATGTCTACAATCTAGATGTCTGGAAAATGTGTTACAAAGTTTGGAACTGGTTTTGTAAGGAACTGAAGCCATACTTTGTTGTGATGCTTCTGAAAAATTTTGATTGGTTGTAATAATGTTATATTGGGTATGGAGGTATGTACTGTGCCCACATCATCCCTGATATGTCATCATCAGAAGGTGACGCAGTTTGTTACATCATTTTGAAGTTACTGAGTGGGATCCAAACTCTCTGTGCTAGAGATCTGAATGAACACAAAGGATTTTGTTTTGCCCTCAGAAATGTTTTAGATGGACAACATTAGATTTACATGCCATTTTGGCATTTGATTCTACTTTCATCTTCAGGGAGCATTTGAAATAAACCTCAGCAGACAGTGTCTAATTTAATATTGCCAGGACCTGCACCATTTCATTCCATTTGTGACATGACTGCATAATGTACTTGGGGTTTCCAGTCCATTGTATTTCAGTTCTGGCTGCATTCATAATACTTTGAGGACGGAACAAAGAAATTGGCTTTAGCCCTTTAGGATACAACAGTCCCTGCATTCTGTGTACCGTGTGCTTTAACATCAAATGCTCTGCACTGTACCCGTACAGTGTATTTATGTGTTTTGTATGATTCACACAGTAGTGATTATTTTCAACATTAACCAGTTGGCATTTGTAATGCAGTTGTAATATGTTTTCTGTGAGGTAGGAACTGCATTTGTATGCATTATTTATGCGAGTTCCAGTTTTTCAGAGTGTTAACTCTTTAGTAGTAAGATATGGTGAGAGGAGGACATAGCGTTCCTGCAAGCGGTCAAGACAGTTACCTCGTTGGTGAAGTAAGGGTCAACTTTTTCAACATGGGTGTCCAAGGCCCCTCTGAGTACACTGTCCAGGTGACCAGGCACGTACAAGCCATATGGGTTGAACAGCATGCGGTGCAGTTCCACATACTCCTCTGTGTTGTTGCTCGGAACCTTCATGAGGCCCTGCAAGAGCGCAGATCCCAGTATTACATTCATGGATAGGCCTGTTGCATGTCACCTGCTGTATGCGTTTTGTCCAAACCCTGTTTCCGTGAGTTCTGTCTTGTTCCCAGAATAAGCCCCACTCGGTTCCCTAAATCTTAATTGATACATGGAAGTGTGGTGTATTTTCTTACAAGTGAAACTGAGGTCTTCAAATATTATTTTGTAAAAAAATTAAAGTATTCAGATGAGCTGGAGCCAGGAATGCTCCTTTTATCTAGGCTACAAGCTGAACAGCCATGGATTTTGGGTTTGACTCCTTACAGGGGCAAGAGACTTTACTTTTCTGCACAGTGTCCAGACCAGCTCTTGGGCCCACCCAACCTCCTGTCAAGTGGCTACAGGGTGGGGGGGTCTTTGCCTTGGGTGTGAATGTGACCTCTCGCCTCATGTAGCACCGAGGTTCAGAATTTGTGGAGCTGTAACTACATCTATCTTCATTGTGTGGAGTTTTATTAAGCATAGGGACAACTTCATTTCGCGGTGTTAATACACACAGTAGCTTCTGCACCAAGAAATCCACGTTTGCTGGGGGCAAGGCTCTAAGTAATGACCTGTGGAATTCATGGCATAGTGCTTAATTAGTTAAGTACAAGGAAAACTTTACCTTTTACCCATTAGTTTTATTCCCATCTGTGCCTAGGTCTCCCAAGTGGTTGATTTGCTTCAGGTTTTCTGATGAATCTGTTCTATGCACTTCGGCTGTGACAAGCAGTAATGAATGGCAATGATCCCCTGACCTCAAGGTGTTGCTGTGCTCTGATAAGGGCAGCGTAACATGATATGAAGGGTAATGTGGAGGGCGTGGCAATTGCTGCACTCACCGGTAGCAGAGTGTGCCCAAACCGGAACGCAGCCGTTGCAAAGCTGTTAGCAATGGAAGCATCCACCGCTGAACTGTAACCGTGGAAATAGCCAGATGGCTGTGGATTCAAGTCCAGACGGGACATGAGTTCGTCACCTGCAACCAGCAGTAAAATAATCAATATAAGGACAGGAACACAGTAAAGTCTATGTGTACCTAATCACTGCACCATAAAGGAGTATAGGGTTCATGGAGACAAGGCTTTACATATTCTGTAGTTTGACACTTGGTGCAGGTAAGTGGTCAGCTTCAGGCTTTGGCCATTATACCCCCATTATTGTGTAGGAGGATGGATGTAGTGCACAGTTCTTCTGACACTGCTGCTGTCAGAATGTGAACCTCAAGTTTCCAGCCTGTAGGACCTTACTGACTGATCTCTCATGGCCCATGTAACAACAGTAATAATAGTTTATGGATTAGAATCAGGTTTTACATGATACAAACTTAATGCAGTGTTTTGCAAATTTAGCGTCATACCCCCTTGCTTTAGCCTGAAATATGTAATTTGAGGGATGTGTTGTGTTCATAATAATCAGTATATTCACGTATACTGATTACTTTCTGGACTAGAAAACCGAAATTAACGGCCGTGGGGATTGATTGTGCTGACCACGTGACACCCCATATCCGCTAAAGCTGGCACTAACTTCGCCAACAAGCGGCGGTCGCTCAGTCGGTATAGTTTGCTTTTATGACTGAAGCCACAGAGTTTGTTTTTTTATACTGATTACTTTAACCCTTCAAAGTGCAGTGATAACTCCTATGTACCACATCCTGTTACATGCAGAAACTGCATTCTGCCCATATGTTCATCACAATAAAGCAGCTAATTGGTCCTTGAAATGGTGACATTGTGTATTTTCTGTGAGGAAGCAACTGAATTTTTAAAATATTACTCAGGTGTACTTCAGGCTTCGGAGGGCTTAATAATCACTGCAGGGTGCAGGCAAAAGAAGGAGAATTGAACAGAATATGCCAAATATGCACATTCAGATGAACAAATGTATAGGGCTTCAGGAGTACCAACCCAATAGCACTGGGAGGAACTCTGAATATGTAATATGTTGCAGCTGGGCTGTCACAATGTGCCTGGCCTCCTGGAACACACGTTCATCATCCCAGGATGGGTTGAGGTCCTGTAGCCTGTCTGCCACTAGATTGTGCTGGCGTGCCCACAACAGGTGCATTGTCGTCAGATGCAGGTTTTCATTGGCTCGTGCATCTCCTGCCAAGGAAAACAAATTGAAGTATACAGTTGTGTCTTTCTTAAATACGTGGTATAGCTTTGTTTACTGAAGTGGTGGTCCATTTGCTGCTACTCAGTTGGGTTTAAAGCTCTTGTTTGATTAGTGGACTTGAAAAGTAATCCAATTTAATCTGAGATTTGAAGTTCTCATGGTGAAAAATATCAAGATGACTATGGTACTCTGGGGTATGAGGCTGTGTAGTGTTTCAGGGAAATCAATTACCCTCCATCTTCAGGGACGAAGAATTGAGCTGAGTGGGGAAATAAGTGTACTGTATTTGTCCTCCCATCCTGTCCTGACTTTCACCTTTCTCTTAACTTCCATCTGCACCCTCTTACTTGTTCCTCAACACTTCTCCTCAGCCAAAGATAGCTATTCTCAGGGTTAGTGGTTCTCATTGGCTCACTCTTAGTCCTGGTCTCATCTCAAATCATTTACCCTGAAGATGTAAGTGGCAGGTTCTTCTGAAACTAAGCATTACCGAACTACATAGTGACCTTAATTTTATGAAAGTTTTGGCAGTGGCAGTTCCTCCACAGCAATGACTCCTGTGTCTGGAACTTTGTTTGTGAGAGAGCACATCAGCATCAGACCGGCACTGTAGGGAGGGATTCCAGATCAGATGAGCAGAATGTTGTGTAAGAAGGAAACAGACTCGTTCCTAGTTCGTGTTGGAGTACCTGACAGGAAGCAGTATCTGCCCTGGACATTCTGTTCCTTTCGGTTGCAACCATCAGAGGCATCTACTGAGTAAGGAAGCAGAGTTCGTCCATCGGGTGTTACAGACATGTGTAATCGCCCACCTCTCATACTGCGCAGCTGTGCGGTCAAGTTAAGGCTCGCTCCATACACCATAGAGCCATCAAGGTATGCGCTCACCTGGTTCAGCTGTTCCCGTGGACCTGCACAGATATCAACGCAGTCATTAACACACTACCTAAACTGTAGGCGATGGATGCATGTGGATTAATTTGTTACATAGCATTACTGAAGTCATCAGCCGTTGTGACAGTTGTGTTCAGTTCCCTCCCCTGCACTTGAAGCTGTTGTGTCAACAAGTGCTTTGTGAACTCACCCAGACTGCAGGTGGGAGCAGGGGCAGAGCGCACAAACTCTGCGCAGCTGACGTTGAAGTCCTGGTCGGCAGCAGACAGCTGAATGGGAAAACATTCTGGGTGGTTTGGTTTCATCCCACAGCACGAGATCGCACTGCCATCCTTACCTGAACAGACAGCAATACATGTTCATTTCTGGATATGTTGCTCTGTCACGGACGTGCACATGATATGTATATTAAGCTGCTGTTTTGGCATTTTCCTGGAGGAACTGATGAAAACCATGAATGATGTATCACGATGACATGGTCCATAAACACTTTATTTGCCCACCTGTGCTAAGTGCCGTGGCTGTGATGTCATGGTCTATGAATTGTCCCCACACGGCCAGCATCACTGTGAATTTTGGGTCATCCCTGTATATCGGCCGATGCAGTGTGATGCTGACTTCTCGGGCTGATGGCAGAGCGTCACCATCAGATGCAGCTCTTGGCGCCATCACACCTGAAAAGCATGAACATCCAGTGTTTTGTTTGAGAAAGAATTGTTCTGCCAAACAGAAACTGGATAATTATGAACACTGAATTCATAAAGAATTAAAAGGCAGAGATTGCCTAATTTAGGTACTGTCTCAATACTTGCCAGTGGGGACTGAAGGAAACCATGATGGAGCCCAGAAGTCCTGGTGCCCATACCAAAATTAGAGGTCTAAATCTTACCGTCGGCATAGTCAGGAGGCAGAATTCTCCGGAATGGACGTAAGGCAACACCCCACTTTAAGGGATGTAGTAGGTTGTTACAAGAGCCGTCAGCTGATCGGAATGGTGTGGGCAGGCAGGGGGATGTACTTGCATCAGCACATGCTTCTGGAGGCATCCAGTCAGCCTCTACAGAGGGTCCCCTCCCCACAGGTTCTCTGCTGTTATTTCGCCTTCTAAGCATGCTGGAACAGCACACACAACACAGACAGTAAGATACACTGTTGGGACACCCAACTGTAAGACATGGCACGTGTGCATGGGAGGAATAAGGTGATGGGGTTAGAGGGTTCTGAGATAAACAGACATGGGAGTTACGTTCTCACTGTGGCATTACCTGTTTGCCAGGTGTCTTGTGGCCAGATTCAACACGTAACCAGCGCGAGCAAGTCTTGTGGCTTCGGGCCTGGTTCTCATTGCCATCTGATGTCTGTAGGAAGGAGAGTTCATCTCCAGGTGAACTCCGGCCACCTCTAATTGGTCACGATCCTGCAGACCAGTGTGACCAATGTTCAGGGCCTCCTCTAGTTGAGCCACAGAAGGCATTTCACCATTCCAAGTGATGTTGTCTTGTTCTGGAAGAGTGGAAAATATAAAGGGATTTTGTCATGGACAGCTGTTTCTTGCAGCTTGTATGAGTATTCCTAACTTATGAACTACTCGATATTCCTAAAGCAGTAGTGCTGTATCTACTGACACCAACTGTTTGAAGTAAAATAGATCATTGTGACAGGAGAGTAGAGAGAATTGCATAATTAAGAGCTTCATAATTTGTACTCTTCAGCAAATGTCACTGCTTGCTTACTCCTTGACCCTGTTGTCCCCTAAGGTCCCCCCCCCCACAGCAGATGCTCATTATTCCCTGTTATTTGCCTTTTGCCTCCATCTGCATGCCTTGAGTTCTTGTAAATCATCCTCTACATTCTCAGCCTTATGGCATTAGGTCCCTTATCCATATTATTTCTACTACTGCCTGAATCTCCTTAAACTGCTCCAGTTCTGCATACATGTGTAACTCTGCACAGATATTGTCTTCCCCTGATGTTTTTGCTTATTTATTTTTCTTTCTAGATCATTCACTTGATTTCATGCTCTTGCTTCAATATCATCAGCACATTTTGCCCTCCATCTCTCATTTTACTCTCCAGAACCTTTTGTCTTCTCGTCTGCTGTCTAAAAACAAAAATTAGAATACACAAAACTATAATTTTGCTCATGGTTCTGTGTGGGGGTGAAACTTGGTCTCTGACATTAAGAGAAGGACACAGACTGAGGGTGTTTGAGAACAGGGTGTTGAGGAGAATATTTTGGCCGAAGAGGGATGAAGTGACAGGAGGGTGGAGAAAACTGCATAATGAGGAACTTTGTAATTTGTGCTGTTCTTCAAATATAATTACAGTGATGAAGTCAAGGAGTATGAAATGGGCAGCGCACGTAGCACAAATGGGGCGAAGAGGAATGCATATAGGATATTGGTGGGAAAGCCAGAAGGAAAGAGACCACTATGAAAATAAAGACGTAGGTGGGTGAACAATGTTAAAATGGATCTTAGAGAGATAGGATGGGGTGATATGGATTGGATTGATCTGGCACAACTTAGAGACCAGTGGAGGGCTCTTGTGAACACAGTAATGAACCTTCAGGTTCCATAAAATGCTTTGAAATTCTTGAGTGGCTGCACATTTGGCGGCTTCTCAAGGAGGGCTCAGCTCTATGGAGTGAGTTTCTGTTCTGTTTCACTCTTGTCGTTACTGAGATCCAAAGAATTGCCACCTGTCTCTCCATTACCACCTGCTTGAAGTGGAAGGAAGTCCTTGGCCCAAATATTGTGATGATGAGCAAATCAAGGAGCACGAGATTGGGTCTCTTGGGAGAGACGTGCACAAAGGATGTAGTCAGAAAACCTGAAGGAAAGAGCACATTTTGGAGATAAGAGGGTGATAGTGAGATGCAACTTAAGGAAATTTGGTGTGACGATGAGAAATGGCGGGCTCGTGTGAACATGGCGATGGACACGAACCCTTTACATAGCAGATGTGTAACTTCTTGAGTAGCTCAGTACTGTTTACTTACCCAACAGGGGGTACTGTAGAACAGGAAGTGACATCAAAACATTCTGCGCTGACATGTTATCCAGTGTATTGCTGTTTCTGCCATCTTCTGTGTTCCTATCCACAGAGTAGGCCACAGTGGCCACAATGGCGACCACAAAGCAGGCCCTGAAACAATTCACATCTGTTGCCCAGCAACCATGCCTGAATTCTCGTGAAGCTCAGTACAGAAATAATGGCTCTTGGAGCCAGTCAGCACAATTCTGTCACTGACGTGCTCCCCTGGGCCCACTATGTTTACACACAGGACAACAAGTACAGTAAACTCTCGCTAATCCAGAGTAATGGGGGGGAAGGCATCATTCAGATAAAGTGATATCCAGATTAGTGAAGCTAGAGGTAGTCCTAAAAGAGAGGAAAAACTAAGAATGTAAATAAGTGGAAGATTTAATTATGCTGATGAAAACAAAAAATATCACTGTAGAGCCTTTATTTAGAAACTATAAAAGACAATACATTTATTCATCAACAGAAGGCTCAGATGTACTTGTTTTTCAGTGTAATAATACAGGTTTGAAGAAACACTCAAGTTTTGTCTGAAGAGAGAACTGACTCATCTGCCTTCACAAATGCCATGTTGTATTTAAAGCATGAACAGCACATTTCATATTTTGATCCAGATTAATTCACCGGATTAGCAAAGGTTTACTGTAGCATGTTGATATTGGCAGTGCTGCTGACGTTTTGGAGGTACCTGCTGCTGCATCTTCAGGACTCTGGTCGCGTCACACCACCAAATCCACACGGTGCACAGACACAATAGCTGAATCAACAACATCAACAGTGAGCCACTGTGACAGCCCAAAATAAGTCAAATAAGTAGATTCCATTAACATGTTTAATCAAGATGGCTACCTGCTGTTTACAGAGGTAAAGTTTGAAAATATGTGACAATGTGATTTTGATTTGATTCCAAAGGAGTCTGACCCTGCCATATTTCATTGATTGCCGAGTTCATGGGCCGTATACATCATTTTGTGTTCTCACAAAACAGAACGTTTTGGAAACTAGAGTAGGTGTCTCTCCACCCGTCCACCTGAGGATGGAAACAGTTCATGGTTCCGAAACGTTTTATTCTTTCAGAATGATAGAGAGTGGCCAAAATCCATACATTCAGTAATCCCAGTGTAACGTCAGTGCTGTGTACATGGGTGTGAGACTTGGTCTCCCACCTCAGGGACGAACACAGATTGAGGCGTTTGGGAGCAGGGTACTGAGAGGAACGTTTGAACCTAAGGGACAGGAGGAAGGTGAAAAATGCATACAAGGAGTTTCATGATTTGTGCTCCTTGAGAGATATTATTACGGTAATACGAATCAAAGAGTATAAGACGGACAGGGCTTGCAGCACGCATGGTATGGATCAGAATTGGTTACAAAACCATGCTCAGAAAGTCTGAAGGGAAGGGACACTTGGAAGACCTCGGCATACATGGAAGTGTATCATAACCTTATAGTGGACTCTGTTCCTCTGGATCTAGATAGGGTCCTGTGATGGTCCCCTGTGAACGTGGCAATATACCTTCGAAGAGAGGAATTTCGTAACCAGCTGTGAGACTATCAGCTTATGAAGGAGGGCCCTGCGCCATGAAGTTAGTGTTTTCTGACCAGGGAGGAGGTCGTAGCTTGCATGGAGGCAGGTAGCTACACAGGAATTCTTGCCCTGTCGCATAATTCGTAATGTTACTTACAGCACTGTTGCACAGACACAACACTGAAACTGCCGCACTTTGTTTCTGTACAAGCGGTCAGCGCCGAACACATACTGCGGCGTCGCGGCGGCCCGCAGCGGCGTGCGTTCCGTCATCCCTGAACAAAAGAAACGCATGATCATATGAGCGCTGTGCGGAAGCAGCAACAGTGGGAACAGTGACAAGCTAGAAAGCAGTTATGAGTCTGTACCAGACTATACACAGCCATAGTTACAGGTCGCCACGAAATGAGGCCAATAAAATTGCCCTGGTTCGCCCCCATAAAGCAAAATCTACAGACACGTTAGGTCAGGAAGCCAAAGTAAATACTGATATGTCCAACATATTCGATACGAGTACGAGGGGGAATGGGGCGTGGAGGGCAACAATTACATCTGCGGATGGAAGAGAAATATGTCCGTCTTGATATATGTAATACTGGCTAGACAGTGTCTTGTGAGATTGTGTTTTAATATTATCCTCCCAGGCCAGGAGATAAGGGTGCAAGTATTTCAAAACTATGTAAGATTTGAGGCTTTCACGGCGGTGACTATGAAGAAAGCAGTCTTCTGGGATTTGGCACCGTGTATATGTGGTGTTAACCGACGTTTCGGAGGAACGTATCGCCTCCATCTTCAGGGTAGAAGAAAAAATATATAAGAAATCAGCAAGCAAAGAGTATACAAGCAAGTATACAAGTGTATACTTGTATACTTGCCCTTCCCCCTTCTCCCTCACTGCTCTCACATAGCTGTGTATTTTTCCACAGTCTGCTTTTACCGGTTCTCACGGTCTCTTTGCTTGCAGATTTCTTATATATTTTTTCTTCTGCCCTGAAGATGGAGGCGATACGTTCCTCCGAAACGTCGGTTAACACCACATATACACGGTGCCAAATCCCAGAAGACTGCTTTCTTCATATTTCAAAACTGTAAGGAAATTAGGTGATGATGTTGGTTTCGTGAAGTAGGTCCTGTTTGTTGCTTTGTAAGTGCGCCCTCCACCCAAACCGTCTTCATGAGCCCCGGCGAGTTCGATTTGATTGTAACAGCGGACAGTTGCTGAAGCCGGGACCGCACAGAGCTTCGCGTTTCAGTCGAACTGCCATTTTATGCAAGGAAAAGACGCGAATTTTAAAACTGAACAGGACAGGAGCAGAAACCGAGACACGAAGCTGGACCGAATGTAGCAACGCGACAGCAGCAGTTGCCTGACACGGAAACCGAGCGTCTTCACACAGCATCGTGAAATCTTAAATCCAGCAAACCTCACTGAGACATCGGTGATTTTCCTCGATCTCACCAAACGAGTGTCGGAGTAGTACCTAAAATATGCTACGGCCTTACCTCATTCGACTTTGCATAACTTGGCACTTGATACAACGAATATGTAAACAGTAATACGAAGTTTTCGAGTTTGTGACTATTTATTTGGACAATGGTTCAATTTTATGGTTTCCGAACGCGTTTCTTGCGTTAAATTTGTTTTGATGTAGGGTAAAATGTAGCAACTTTGACTTAAATTAAAATGCAGGCCTATGGGGTTTTTTTTTCCATTTCCTGGGACGGCGGAGCGAATTCCGCAATTTCTTTTTAAATGAGACAACAACATAAATCCTGACAATAAATAAACCAAGATTACTTTAAGAAATCCACTGATATGCCCGTTTCTAGGCGCCAGGGCAACGCTACGACCTTCTCTTGTTATCTATGCCTCCGCAAAGCCTGTTAAGCTGCAAGAAGCAAGCGACTTACCGCGAGATGCCATGTGATGTTCTCTTGTTTGCAGCTTGCACACAACTGGGGGATTGTTGCTCAGCGCCAACTTATTTGGCTTCGCACGGCCTTCTCATGCCAGACAGCGCGTGGAAAGGAGTTCCAGGACTGTTTAAACCCGCACTAAATCTAGTTTTCTACCAATCTATGCTCCGTTACACATCCGTTTGTCGATTTTCCAATTGTCTTTTTAACCTACGTAACAGATTTCACGGGAATATTAAGTTTCACGATAACGATACGCTCCTGTGTTCTTTCATGCGCCCCCTCCCCCACATTAATAAGCCATAAACCAAGAGTCGATTTTTATGAATTTCAGCATGAAGACAATGCAATTGAAAGCAGTTTCGGTAAATATACAAAGACTGCTTTGAATCTTGTAACTAACTCCCTGGGGCCGAGCCCTTCAGAAGTCAGCAGCCACTCAAGAATTTCCCAACATATTATGGAACCCGAAGGTTCAGTACCGTGTTCGCAAGACCGCGCCACTGATCCCTACCCTGAGCCAGATGAATCCAGTCAATACGACGCCATCCAGTACCTCTAAGCCAGGCATGTCCAATTTCAAACAGGTTGTGATCGACTTTTTAGTGTCAAAACTGCCAGTCTACCACCCCCTCCCATCGTCGTACCTCGCTTTAAGCAAAAATATTGGTACAAATATCACGGCACATGATGTTTGCTGTAAAAGCAACTAGTAACTGGGCTGTGTCTGATGTCTGTAGCTTCATCCAATTGGAGGGAGAAAGCAACACAACTGGAAACATCTTTCAGCAACTGTTCAGTTGTGTCTCCACACATCATTTCTATTCGCCGCACAACGGTGTTTCTTGATAATTGAAGATCTTGAATAGTACCTATGATCTCTTTCTTATTTTACATCACAAGCGAATTTACATGCTTTTCACGTATAATTTCCTTATAGGCCTATGAGATCGACCAAAAATCGTCCCGCGATCGACGTGTTGGACATGGCTGCTCTAAGCCTTCAGAAATACCACCAAGGAATTTAGCTCAAACGGTAAAGCCTCTGACTTTCATTATGGACGTTCTTCGTTGTTTTCTCGGTCCCTGCAGGCAGATCCATGAGGGTAGCTTCAGTTAGGCCACAGCAGCCGCACAGACCTCAGTAGAGCAATGCCGGACTCGTGGAGTTCTGAAGCAGCATTAGCGCCATTCGAACCAGAATCGTGAAGCTGTAAGAAGAGTTAATGTTTACATTAGTCAGTTAACACCCACTCCCCCATACGCCTTCATGGCGTAGTACTTAATTAGTTAAGCACAGGGACAACTTTACCTTTTTTACCTTTTAATATTACTTGTACGAGAAAGCTGCTTTTCTGTACGGCGCGTCAGCTGAAGCCCCACACGTTACATGAAGCCAAACCTCGGCCCAGGTTTCGCTGGGGAAGCCACATCAAGAACTACGACTGTTCTCACAGAAGCAAAATAAATACACTTCCCTGACTAAGCAACTAACTAGCTCTCAAACTAACTCTACGCGATTAAAGCTATAGAAATAATGTGTACATTTTCGGGCGTTATGAAGCCATGGAGCTCAGGACTGTCTCTCCCTGGTCCCGGGTCCGCACAGCTGGATTGCGATGCGGCGCTATTTGTAGTGTTACAGCACTTACACCGACTTCACTTCCTTGTATCACAGCACTTACACCGACTTCACTTCCTTGTATCACAGCACTTACACCGACTTCACTTCCTTGTATCACAGCACTTACACCGACTTCACTTCCTTGTATCACAAGTCAGCGGGAGAGCAGAAAGTCATTAACGCCTCTGGACTCTATCCTGTGCCACATGAATCCAGCCCACATCTTCACGTAGGATTTCATGAAGATAGATATTAATATTATCCTCCCATCTTCATCTCGATTTTCCGAGTGGTCTCTTTTCTTTAGGCATTCTGCTTAAAGTTCTGTACACATTTCTCGCCTGTCCTATGCATGCTGCATGTCCCACAAGTTTCATCCACCTTTAGCGCCCTGTAAATTACGAAATCCTTCATTTTGCAATTTTCCCTGTTCTCTTGTTACTTCTCTCTCTCTCTCTCTGGTCAAAATATTCTCTCCTCAGCTCCCTGTTCTCTTGTTACTTCTCTCTATGGTCAAAATATTCTCCTCAGCTCCATGTTCTCTTGTTACTTCTCTCTTTCTCTCTCTCTGGTCAAAATATTCTCCTCAGCTCCCTGTTCTCTTGTTACTTCTCTCTATGGTCAAAATATTCTCCTCAGCTCCCTGTTCTCGAGCACTACTAAGTCCCTTGTACTGCGGCCACTTCTGGCCTATTGTACCAGCCCCAGATGATAGGTGAGGGTGATTCTGGAGCAATTGGTGGAATGAAGATTGGCAGAGAAAACCGAAGTACTCGGAGAAAACCTGCCCCAGCGCCACTATGTCCACCTCAAATCCCACTTGACCAGACCCGGGATCGAACCCGGGCCGTCGCGGTGGGAAGCTAGCGACTAGCCGCTTGAGCTATGGCGCGGCCAAAGCTGTGCTTAGAGTTCCTGTTTTCTGTGGTACTTCGAGGAAGACTGCGATATCTTGAGCAACCGGTTGAGAATTTCGGGTCCGAGGAATGTACCGAAGCTGGAAATGCGATTTCTCATTATCGGGCTGATGTAAAAATATGATTTTGTTTTCGTAAATTTTTCATACCGGAAACTTGTCAGAATCTTACTGCGTAACACCGGCAGGCACAGTAAGGTTACTTTTCTTGTGCTATGAATTCTCTGACGTGAGCGCCTGTTGTGAAAGTTGAAAGGCGATTCTTCAAACAGTAGTTTATGCTGTCTGTACAGAATTCTGATAGATCTTGCGTTGAATGTTTACAAGCAACAGAACCGAAGATGACGACTCGAAAACTTCCCGCTTCACTGAGTTTCTTCTGTGAATCAGACAGATAACGTAAGTAGCATTTGTTTGAGCAGGTCTACATTTGCGGACAACCTAAATGGGGTAATTCGACTGTTTATGATATAATGATTTTTATTAGGCGTACATAAACTAACAACTGTTTTATTTTGTTCGTGTGTGTTTGTGTGAGAAAGCCTGGGTCCATTATCACTGTGAGATATCAACTTGACATGAAATTTCTTCAGATGTATTGGCTTCTCAATAGAAAATCGAAGCTCTCAATGTCTAACAAAATACTACTATACAAAGCTATATTGAAACCTATTTGGTCCTATCGTCTTCAACTCTGGGGATGTGCAAAGCCGTTGAAAAGCAATCTCATCCAGAGATTTCAATCAAACACACTAAGGGCAATTGCAGACGTGCCATGGTGTGTGAGCAACTTCACACTCCATAACGACATAAAAATACCCTTCGTCAAAAATGAAATACTAAGAATGGCTGAAAGGTACAAAAACCATGGTTAGCTTCACGCTCCGACCACTTCATTGCTGGGGAAGAGCGTCACGTAGGAAAAGGTCTCTGAAGAGGAAAGTATATGCTCCAATCTGGGATCGAACCGAGATCAATCATTTTGCTTATCGCATGAATGCCGAGCTGTGTTTCAGAGATTTCAGCAGCGTAATTCATAGTCCTACTCAGAAGTTTGCACGGCAGCTGTGGTTGGGTGGACAGATCAAGGTGACCTCACTGTGAGGTCTCGTGTTGCAGCAATCGGATCCTTTGTGATCAAATAAATGAAACCCTATCGGACACAAACTTGTTCCAGCGGCCAGTCGTCTGTAACCGCGATGTGACACATTTCAACTCTCGGAAGCCTGAAGACCGGGGTGTGGGGGGGGGGGATAGTGAACCCACTGCCTGGTACGTCAGTTTCAAGACTGGACGTTGTCCAGGGCCTGAGCAATGCTAAGTAGCCTGGACATTATCCATCGTCCTGTCCATATATAAAAACATCGTCCTCTTTATTTTTCAAAACACAGCGTTTCGGAGACTGGATTCTGTCTCCGTCTTCAGATAAAACATACTCAGTTATTTACATAACCAGTATGGACCATGTATACTATATCCCACTCTATCGACTGGGCCCAACTGAGTAGGTTTTACCTGAATACGGAGATAATCCAGTCTCCGAAACGTTGTGTTTTGAGAATAAGCAGGACGGTGTTTTTAGATAAACATAATATTTGTACTAATGCACCATTGTCACGAACTTTAGGTCCTGCTGATTCACGTTAGCAAGTTTTGTGAACTGTTGCGAAGAGGGAGGGGTTTGATTTTTGCGAATTTAATTCACGAGGTCTACAAGAAAACGACGCAGCAGCATGAAACATTAAAATAGCATATATAGTTCAGTTCATATCTCACAGAAAACACACTCAAGTCTCGTGAGATTTGAAGTTCGCGTGGCTGAATATGAATAGTACTATCTTTGAGATGTATCGTCGTGTAGTCTGATCGAGACTTGCCGACGTTTCGGAGCAACGTGGAACATCAGTCTTCAATGTCGAAAGTAAGCCAAGCAAGCAAGATGGACGTAGCACGTTCCTACTGGAACGTTGGTAAATTTCAGGCCCCACGATGTATTACACCCCAGAAGGCGGTAGTGTTCACACCACATTCCCTCTATTGCAAAGACCAATGTCTAATGCTGTTAGACAAATAAACGCTTTTTACTGTGAGATCATTTGAAGTAGGTAAATTCCCTGTCGGTAAAGTGTATGATTTTTCTTAATGTAATTTAAAACACGTGATAGTTATAGTAACCAACGTGGTTGAAAGCATTAACAAAATAAAAAAAAATTGTCAGAAGTGGGATTCGAACCCACGCCCTCAAAGAGGACCAGAATGCTACATTGCCTCTCATTTCAGGCAAGGACATACCTTGAGTCTGGCGCCTTAGACCGCTCGGCCATTCTGACATTAAGTTTTTGGAGCTGCAGATTGTTGTATTTAGCCTTAACTTAGGCGTTTCGCTCGTTATGAATTTCCATAATAGTATGGTTATATCTGATTGAAGCAATGAAAAAGAATTAATCTGTTACATTCATTTCAGTTTTATCATGATTTAAATTTTAGGTTGGTTTCAAAATTCAGCATCTCTTCTGACAACATTGA